TGTGGTACATTTTTATTTGTAGTTTTGTTGCTGTATGTTTTAGCTAGAATAGAAACATTCGTACGCAATTGTATTGTTAATTGGTTTTTTATTTCCTTTCTTTATAAGCTTAAATCTATTTTATTCAATTAAGACAGACTGGGAATAGGAGATAAGCGCATGCCATTTCGTCACGCACGATTTTAAGGTCAAAAACTTAAAACACTACAACCTAGATGCGATGCAAGTTTTACGTTCTAAACTATCTTCCTGTTAGAATAAATACGTTTTCAAAAGGCTATTATTAAGAATTACCACTCCGGCCACAATGTTCCACGAGAGACATCCCTAATCGACTGTTTTCACACAATTGAAACTATAGTCGGCTCTGTCTTGAGCTTCAAGACTTTCTACCGCGTTCCGACTTTACATTTTATTTCCATTTCGACAAGGGAATTTAAGAAAAATATTCTGGTTTCAACCATGAATGTTGTGTTTATTTAGTCAGATGAAAGTTTTTTGCTACAATACGAAGATACTCTTCTCGATTGGTATAAAAAACTTGAGATTTAGTTGCTAAGCGATAATGATTTGCAGTAGAACTTCATGTTTTGTACTATTCGATCGTTCTATAAAGATCATCATCATCAACAGCCATTAAATGCCCACTTCTGAGCAAAGCCTCTTCTCACAACGAGAAGGTTTGAGCATTAGTCACCTACGCGCCTATATCGCCAACGCGCATTAAGCAAACGTGGTGGCGTTTGCTCAATGCGCGTTGGCGATACTAGGTTATATAATTAGATAAACTTATAATTAGAAATTATAAGTCCAGGTTTCCTTCACCGTTTGTCAGGGGTGTCTAAATAATCTTAAAAAGTAAATATAACCCGAAAAAAGTGACATTGGTACTAGCCGTTGGTAGGTTTCGAACCGGCGCCCTCATTCATGAGAAGTCGTCTTAAGCCTCCGGGCCACCACGACATCTATAAAGATATTAAAGCATAAACATGCTTAGTAGTCAAGACCAATAGAATATACTATAGTAACAAAATTGGGAATACTGAACCATTAAGCGAAAATAATAACGTCTGGTTATTATATACATAAGTACAAGCACAATAGATATGTTTCCGAAATTAATATTTCCATCTTATGAGTCCAAAATAGGAGCATAAACAAATTGTAATACAGGAAAACATGTTCTAAACGTCAACAAAACTCTTGATTTCAATACAACGTATTCGTATCATCGGAAAGTTTCCCTATAAAGGCAGTGTACACGTGTACAAACTATTTGTGTTCGCGAAAATTGAAGCGTGTCTACACGACGAGATTTCCCTCGTGAGTACTTCACTTTAAAACGTTGACGATGCTTCGTTGTTTGACGTTCGAGATTCTGATGGACAAACAAGGTTAAGTGCTCCAACAAATTAGGAACGTGAAAACGTTATATTGTACTTTATGTTGATGGAGATTGAGATTATTTTTGAAAGACATAATGGGTACTTTTTTGTAGAGTTTTTGCTTGTGAAAATGTATGAAGAATTTTATCGATGATTTCTTTTTTGTTGGTGTGTTAGGAATGTAAACTAAAGTTAAATAGGGTGATAGACAACGTTTACCTAAGCCTTGTGTATTATATGGTAAAAACAGCAATAGGTTTTTGACTTACTTACTTTCGACGACCAATAGGACAAGAACGTTTTACAGACAGTTTGAGATAGCTTGAAGTGCTGGTCTCTAAAAAGTTTAAAAAATCAGTAAAACATTGATTATCAAAATAACCAAGTGAATTTGTTTCAGGCCTATTATTCCACAGAGCAGTGCTGATGTCGGGGTCAGGCTTAAGCCCGTGGTCGCTTGTTGCTGACCCAAGCAAGTACGCAGCAATAGTCGCTACACATGCAAATTGTTCACCCGGTAAGTGCTAGCTATATTGGTCATTAAACTAAATCAAATCAAATCACTTTTATTTGTGCATTATTTTTCTTATAGATACAGATTTCTTTCAGATACAGGTCTTATAAATTATATTAAATTAGAGCGCTATGCTATGCCAGGAGACGTTCAAATTGTGGTAACCATAGTATTTAGATCCACCAGGAACAATCCTACGCAGACGGTTGTTTTAAATACAACATTGCAGTTTTGCGAACATGTTTTTTTTTAAATAACGTAGTATTGTGGAACAAGATATTAATGACGTATACATGATCTGGACATCGCTTAACCACATACATATTAAGTGATCTATCTGCTATCTCGATGTCGGATTAAAAACCGTTCATATTTGCTTTGATTGGTCAGTTTACTGGAGCCGGCTAATCAGAGTGCTGAACGCGCTCAATACTATTACGTTACGATTGCGATAGTTATTCGTGATTGGCACTTAGACGTCTGTAACAAGATTATTATATAGATCACACAAAGAACACATTAAACATGAGTTACCACCAGTCAAAATGGTGATTAAACGTCGACCTATTAAGTCCAAAAAAAAGTACCTCGTAAATACCGGCATGGGTGCCTACTGAAAATACCTGCATGGGTGACTTGTATGCCTGACTTACACTGAGTGGGTGACCCTTTTAGCATAGGCATGTTGTCAGTGTCTCTCTTCTAATTCTTCTGTTTTAATTTTTCAACTCAATGTTTTTATTACTTCCACTGTCACACCTTTATTGTCTTTTTTATATTTTACTTATGTTGCATCGTGCCTGGTACTTTCTTTCTTTCTTTTAAGTCACTTCAAAATATCGTAACCTCAGTATCTTAATTGAACTAGAACATTCTGAACTTGCATACGCAATACAGTAACTTGTTGTTAGCGAACTGCTAGACTATTGGGGCATCACACTTGGCTAAGGTCCAATACAACGCACGTGGTGCCTCAATGGACGACACACTTCATGTTACCGCCTTTGTAAAGTCTCATAGTCATCCCAAAGTGAGAGCTGATAGCCAGGTATACCGTTTTATGGTGTAAACGAATATGTGATTTAATTTAATGGGTATACGGTTTATAATCTAAATGTATTGTTAGTTATTTGGTGTACGCACTTGGGTGTTGTGTTTTGTATGCAATTATATTATATATATTTTTTAATAATTTAATTTAATAAGATTTGCTAAAACCGTTATTGTTGACATTATTTGTAATAAAATGAATAACGAGGTATTCAGGGCAGCTGAGGAACTATTAAATGTAAAAGACGAAGAAAAAATTTAATATTGAAGTAAAAAAATGTACTTTAGTATGCCAACAAGAAATGCTACAAGGTATTCTTATTTGCTACAATAGCAAAGGTACAAAGAAAGCATCCAGTTTCGCGATGCATTGCAAAATTCCAGTTTGAGTTGGTTGTCTTTAAACATAATAATAATAAAATTGTATTACAAAATTAATTCCGGACTAAAAAGATTAAGATTGTAAAGAAAACATTAATAAAGCGAAAATAGTTCAGTCAAAAATTTTTAATAATATTGTCACGAAATTAAGAAAATTCAGTAATAGTGCTCGTCGCCATATTTGATTACATAGTTTCCTATGCTAGCCCAGCTTATTGTTCTGTTATTTTTATTTTACCTTCCTACCTCGTTGGCCGAGTGGTCGACTGCCAGGCAAGGGGTCTCGGGTTCGATTCCCGGGTCGGGCAATGTACTACGCACGCGCACCCCCTTACATGGGACTCATAACATAAATAGTGGAAAGTGGGTGTTACATTGTACAGTGTCATTAAATGCCGTAATGTCCACCTCTGCTTGCCCATTCGGGGATAAAAGGTTTCTTTTCTAGTGATACGTACATAAATAAAACAAACGTATCAAAAGACACAAACAAAAATAGTCCCTAAACACACTCAGTGCACTCGAAACCACGTCAAACATTGAGCACACTGTGACACAGAATCGCGCTACATTCGACTCAGTAGTGGTATTAAGAGCTATGTGTGTCCAGCCTTTAGTTCGGACACCGACGTGAATAGTGACAATCAAGTGACACCTGGAGCCTGTCCAAATGCTCACAACACCTGTTCAGTACAATAGACTGGGTTCTAGTTAATTTGTAACGTCAGTCTTGAATTTTAATACTAAGTGAATGGAATGATTTATTACCTACCTTATACTTTGGAGTCTGTCACGGAGAACTTAACGGGTAACCGGGGCTCCGGCTCGACGTGCATTAGAAGGAACGGTGTGGTTTTTAGTCAGTAAGAGTCTGACTACCTCCCGGCTCACCCAGACGTGAGCAGTCATTCGATGATTTTCCCCTCTTAAAAAAAATACTTTGGAGTCTACTATAGTTGCTGTAGGTAATTTGTGTTTGAAGAAGTCATGATCATCATCATTATTAACAGTTTATAAGTGGCCACTGCTTACCTAAGGCCCCTTCTCAAACGGAGAAGGTTTGAGCATGTGAGCATTAATCACAACGTTTGCTCAATGCGAGTTGCTGACTTCAAACTATAATTAGAAATTATAAGCCCAGGTTTCCTCAAGATGTTTTCCTTCACTGTTTGTCAGTGATGTCTAAATAATCTTAGAAAGTACATTTAACTCGGAAAAAGTCACATTGGTAATTAACCGGGCGTCTTGAACCTCCGGGCCAACCTACGATACTCATTTTGAAGGAATGGTTGACTCATTTTTGTACAAAGTTTTATCTTTAGTTTTATATTAAATTCAAGTTTAAGTTTACTAAAGAGTCTGAATATACGATACTAGAGTGAGCTCTCTCTCTCTAACAATATCAACAAAAAGCAGGTGGTCAGAACGATTAACACTACAGAGAATAAAATTGTGTGATTTTGGTTATAAGCTATCTTCGTATTATAATGACACTTTTAACAAAACCTAAAATGGGCATACAACAGCACATCATGCAGCCTTAAACAGTCTTTCGTCAAAGAAGATCTAACCTTATTACAAAAAAAATAAAGTTCAAACTGCACCTCTTATGAGACCAGTCATAACAGAAATTATACTAAAGTTATTATAAGCTCTAGACACGTTACGTAATGACTGACAGAATAACATTGTCCCCAGAACTGACGCCGCCATTGTTACTCCGGTGTTTGCGGGAGCGGCCGCTAGAGGCGCTGCTGTCTGCGCCAGTACAAGCACCCGACTTTGCTTATGCCTTCGGGCCTAGCGTCGACGGTGTTGTTATAGGTACAGTATACTATGGCTACTAAGTAATATACATACATATAAAGTTCCTATACCTAAGTTATCTGATTACAAAGACAAGTTAGTTAGGTATACCTACTTGTCTAATTAGATATCTTAGGTAAATGAAGGTGCAAAATCCTTTGTAATATATGTGTATTATCTGTGTTACCTTTATATGAATTTCATTATATAGGTTACCTATTCTATTTATGTATACAATTATTCATTACGTCTGTTGAAATGAAAAAAAATATTTCATTTAAACATTCTCAGAAATAGGTAGCATGAAATTCGGAAATAGTCATGTATTAACTGATTTAAGAAATCTCTAACACAATGTGCCAATAGCGGAGCCAGAAGGAGCGCATTATTTAGATACATACTTTTTTCCAACGTTCAAAGTCTCAAGCATTCACATCAAAACTGAGACATTCTTATTTATCGTCATCCATAAAAGGAATAGTCGGGCAATGACTTACTTTCATTTCATCCTCAATAACTTCACATAAAATATTTGTGTCAACATAAATAAATATTATACTATTGACAAGTAATTTCAAAAGAAAAACTCATTTCCAAATACATTTCCCAATAAATATACAAAGACGTCTCCAGCAGAATCGCCATTTTTATTACATCAATCGTAAGCCTTCAATAAACTTGTAACAACGCCATTATTGTATAAGCAAGAAATACTATTCTCGATTGAAGTGCGGAGGAGAAAAAATATAAAATATACACTACAGAGGTCACAAACAAGTGTAACTAAGATAAATGACAAAATCGGGAACTCGGCCGTTGGACTCAAAGGAACACTTACAAGGTGAACCTTTCCGTGTTTACTATGAATTAATATTCTCACAATATATTATTATCTCTCGTCTCCCACTGAGATGAACTTGATGCTCAAAAGGATTTCCTTAGAAAAGAATGAACAAAGATCCTTATTAGTTGCGTCTTCTCCAAAAATAATCTAGTACGTATCCTCTATTACAAAGAAACCAATATCAAAGACAAAAATGTGTGATATTTTCTACTAAAACATTCTAAGAATTTTCTTAATTCGATAAAGAAAAATTGTGATTATTATTTCTTAGAAGGTATTAATTGGAAAGACAAAGAAAAGCATTATTTAACGTCTTATATTTAGGGACTAATAATGTTATCTCATTTATGATGATAATAACGATGCCAGTGTTCTCGACAGAAAAGACTTATTGGATTAATTTGACATCCATTTTTGCTATAGGACCCTAACTAAATAAAAATCTTTCAAGGTCCATTCTAGAATTACATTTTGGTTACGTCTCGTCTCAATTTGATTGGCTGGCGCCCAAATAGTTTGCCAATACATTTCGGGCTGATAGCAAAAAAAGAAGAAAACTAATTACAGAAAAGGTCTTAGTTACCTCTGAATTTCTAGGATTGTGAATAAATATTTTGGGAATACAAAAGTTGTCATTTATTATTTGTCTATTCATAGTTTGTATCTTGTATTCTAGTGTGTTTAGTTATACCATTTCACAAATCATTCCGTCAAGTGCCACAGTCGTAGTTTCTTTAATCATTTTATTTTTCTTTTTCTTAATTATCACTGTTCTATTGTTCGTATCAAGTCTGTGGACGGTGCTTTTACAAATCTTCTGAGAAACCAACATCTGCTAAGAACTGAGGAATTAAAGCGGAGATTTGTTGCAATTCATTTAGATGACCCGAGTGCTTCTGTAAATGCGCATTGCGATTTTCTTGGAAGAGAAATAAACAAAAGGTAGAAAGCAGGTATTTATTTCAACCGTTCAAAAGGTTCTTTAAGTGTACTTTTTACACTGCTCCTTTGATCTACGAGCTGTACGATAAGCGTGGAGTTTTAGACTTGATTTTAAAGGTGAACAATGTATTGTCAGCTTTGTGGGTATATGGACATTTCATTAGCGTAGACTCCTTAATCAATAACAGCTGTATTTAATACTATTTAAGTATCCACTTCTAATTAAGTTTAGTGTAGTACTTAAATAAATGTGACTTAATTCCATTTATTTTATTCTCTTCGTCTTGTAATTGTTTATTGAGAGCTCAGGGCTAATATTAACGAAATGATACTGACCTAGTATAAGTGCTTGGGAAAATATTAATAATCAGTTTAATGATTTCTTTGTAGTCCACTTTTATCTGTTTGTTATTTGCATATTTACTGTTATTATTTCTAAGAACAGTTCTAAGTATTTATTAAACGCTGAACGATACCTTTGTAAATTCTTCTCATCTATTATTTTTAGTAGGTATTTGCTTCTTTGATAGTAGAGTGAGTACAGTACTTTGAATTGAATAGAGTTGGGCAAATCATAATTGGACATTAAGCGTATGACTATTTAGGCCTTTACTTGGCTACTTTGTATATGAATTAAATATTAATACATAACTTATAATCTGGTTTGCTTGTATACCTTCTCTTAAAATTACTCCTAGCAAAAAAACTAACACAAATACCTTAACCGTAGCTATTTACATTCCAACGCTCAACTTCTCCTTCTAAACTTTCAATTAAAACAGTAAACACTAGGACTTCATGAAGTGCAGCCACCATAACCCAAACACGAGACATAAATCCACAAAAGTTTCCGTGTTTTCGCATCGGCATTCTACCGTCTCGTCCACCCGCTGTTATTAAATTGTCTCAGAGAACTTTTCTCATCTCGTGTTCTTGGAGCGTCAACGTTTTCTGTTTGCACACTTTGTTGAACAGGATTTTTTTTCTTACGTTGATCTCCGCTCTTTGTGATGTCGTACAATTAATGGCAGTTGTCTCCTTTACTCTTTCTTATAAGTCGGCTTTGATAATTTTAAGTTTGTTAAGTTTACGTTTCTTGGTGAGCTCCCTTCTAAATAGTGGTAGTTATCTTGGGAATTAATGCTAGCTGGTTTGTTTAAGAAATGTAGTTTTTTAATTCCATTAGTATGAAACGGACGCTTTGAAATTATAAGGACTGAATCACTAATTCACTGAAAATAAATTAAATTTACTTCCAAACCATCATAGGCAAAAAGTCGATTGACCATTTTCGAAAATAAAAAAGCATACTTCACCTAAGATTATTGTATACTTATTACACTACTCAGCTATCAATATGAACCTATGAAAATATTACTTACCCCCTTCAGATTTATTTTAAAATCTATTATTACTATCTTCAATCGAAACTACCATTTAAAATATTTAATACACAGGAAGATCAAGATTGCTGTCTTGGTCTTCCTGTGTATAATACAAACGTGTCTCTATCTCAACAGACACCGGCGATCTGTTAGTGAACCCTGAGAATGGCTACGAGTGGGGAGGACAGACAGTTGCACATGCGCCGCTTGGCAAGCAAGCGCAGAACGCCATCAACATCATCAACGCCGTACTCATGAGAAAGAGCGCTGTGGCACAACTTACTAAGTATGTATTCTTTTCTATGACTTTATGAGATGGTGTAATAATCTTGTTTTATTAAAACGTATTAATTTTTCTCAAGTTTAGAATCTTGTCTATTTTTTTTTATTATCGACACACTCTGAAAGACGTCTAAGGTGTATTATCTGATTCTATTACCCAAATGAATGCTTTATTTCAATACTTGATTGTTTTTAAACAAATTTTTAATCTATTCCTTTCTTTCCTAGATACGACTTGATGTTAGGAGTGACAAAAGCAGAAGCATATTTCGCCTTCAGCGGAGATGACGTCCAGTACGGCATTGAGGCTGACAGGAGATCGAAGATCTTGAAGTCTTTCGTCAGGAACACCTATAGTTATCATCTTTCTGAGATTCTTGCAACTATCATCAATGAATACACTGATTGGGAGCGGCCTGTGCAACACCCAATTAATATAAGGTGAGTAATTATTAAAACTGCTACTTACTTAAGCTTCTTAAGAAAAGACTATGTCTAAAATATTGATATATTTTATGTTTAAGAAAAAAGCATTAATTAGTATTCTTTGAAATTATATGTAATGTAATGTAATAGTTAAGACATTGATTAGTGTATGATGCTCATAAATAACCGTCAAAACAATCGTTTGACGCTAAAAGACATGGTGTTCAAATAAATTACTACTAGCCGTTGGTTGTGATTAAAAAAACCTTCATCACGCTTTAGCCACAAATAAGAAAAATACATGAAAGAAAATAACTAGAGACACACTTATTATTTGCAAATCAGACCTTAAAAAATAAACTACAAAGTTATCTTTTGCATGCAGTGCAGACAAAGTCTTTAGTTTCGTCTACAAAGTCAGATTCTGTCTTGAAATTGCAGACGAAGATAATATCTTGAAAGTGCAGAGCTAAGTGTTGAACTGGGCTAACTTGAGACTGTATTTAGAAACTGTTTAAAACTAAGCTTAGGGTGGGAGATTTTGAAGAAACTTACTACCTAACACATACAGCGGAGGAAATGAAGACTTTGTTCTTGGAATTTATGACCTTGAGCGTTTCATTTATTTTCATTTAGTTTGGGAGTTGGCTTATAGTATTTTTTGCTTCTTTTGTTCTTTGGGTAATCATTCGAATATAGTTCTTGGGGCTGAAAGGTTAAGGTGCCGGTTTCAATATTAATTCATTCTGCATCCTGCCTAAATTCACCGACGGAAGTGAAAATTATAGTTTTTTTCGTCGCCCCTATTAATAACTTCTGATTTATTTCTTTGCGTGATCCAAGATAGCTATTCATGAGTTTGGGACGCATCGGACTTGTTTTCATGGTGTTCCGATATTTTCATGGTTGTATCTACAGTAGATCCTGGCTTACAGCAGTTGGAGCAGTTTTGAAAGGTGAAGTTTTAAATGACAGCCCACTATTAGACTATGGGCCTCTTCTGGGTACACAGTACTCTTCTCAGCCGACATCATTTTGGATCGACCATGCATTAGTAGTAGCATATCTTTCATCAACAACTCAGTATTGATCGCATTAATTACCCTCGTTTTGACCTCTTCCGATGACAGAAATAAGAGAGAATGGGGCGTCCATTTTTCCTGTTTCGATCAAGAATTCATTAATATTATCACAATTAGTATTTGCAGCAATTCCATTGAGAATAATTAACAAGATATTGGACAGTAATTATAATTAATTGTTTTGTGACTACAGAGGATATTATTATAATTGATTTGTGTCTGTTAATATAATTAGTGGGGATGAAGCGTGTGTTGTGTCTATTGTAGGTACATGTTAAATTAATAAATAACAATATGTCAATTATTTCTTGGAAATAGAAACCGAAAATATCCGTTTTTTTTCGGTCGAGTTCAAATTTAACAAGTTGACGAGAGGCAAGAGGGACGAAACGTGCGAGTTTATACAATTTTAATAAAAAAATATTTCTCGTTAGTTGGGGGCCTTCAACACAATTAAAGATAAACTTGCAGAAGGTAATTGTGGTTCCAATGTGCTCCACTGCTAGCTCTTGCGGAGAATAGAAAAGAAGTTATGTGTATAGATTAAGGTTCCCCAAACTATGGGTTGCGGCCCCTTCGGTGAGATTTTTTATAGTAAATCTTGTGATATGCTAAAACACACTGACCAACCGTTCTGTATTTTAATTTTCACATTGGTAAAACTATGTACTGAGTTTGGTAAATTGATTTAGATAGGTCGCTGTCTAGAACTTGGGAACCAAAGGTATAGATCAAAATTGTAAAACAATAGGAAGTTTTACTGCAAACATCTTAATTAGGTAATTATGGCAACTGTATTTATTGTTACCAGGGATGAAACACTGGAAGCACTCAGTGATGCTCAAGTAGTGGCTCCGATGGTCCTCACAGCAGATACACATTCAGCGCTCCGTCGTAACTCCTACCTCTATGTGTTCGATTACCAGACGAAGTATGGAGATTATCCACAGGTGAGTACAAAACAGGAATAGTTTCCAAATGTGTATGTGGTCAGTTCTAATAAAATTGGAGATGAATATTGTGCTAAACAAAGGATAATCATTAAGGAAAATAATTTAGTATTTGCTTGTTAATTATTTACAAACATCACTACATAGTATAAAAAAAACAAAGTCGCTATCCGCCGTCTATCTGTCCCTATGTATGCTTAGATCTTTAAAACTACGAAACGGATTTTGATGCGGTTTTTTTTAGACAGAGTGATTCAGAGGTTTATATGTATAATACATGCATATTGCACTCGTGCGAAGCCGGGGCGTCGCTAGTTGTACATATTTTACTATAATTATATTAGACAAAGGCCTCTTCTTACACGAAGATGATATCAGAGTTCATACTTGGTCTAAGTATGTAAACTGGTCCAGAAGTTATCAAGTATACTGAATTAGATATCTTTACGTATATTGGCTAACAAATTAAGTACACTAGCCGAAGGTCAATATGTGTTTGGGAAACATTCTTTAATGTCTCAAGATGGATCCTTTGTGGTTTGAAAATCTCAAACTATAAAACTATTGGTCTCAGTTATTCTAAAACTATGTCAACAAACAGGTTTTATTAAGAGCTTCGTGTCGCTCCGTATAATTACAAAGGATTCGAATTCATACTGACATCATTTTAGCGAAATCTATGAAATAAAAAAAAATGTTATATTGCTTCAAATTATTTTAAGTCAATCTATAAATTAATTCTACTTTAAAATATCTTCGTCTATAAATATAACAAAATCATTTAAAAATAAATCGCAATACAAAACCAAGGCTTTATATCACAATGTATTTGTTTCAAAACGATCTGTTAAATGAAATTTCGATACAATTTGTTCGACAAAACTTATTTCATAGGAGTTCACCGAGCTATTACTTTGGCCTTGAACGGCTCACAGTTAGCGCTAACGAGCCAAAACTGGGCACCAATTGAATTATGAAATTATTCAATTTAGTCCAAAGTTTTGCATGACTTAGTATCCAGTTTATTTAGTTTTTGAACTTGGGATAGATTAATTTCATTGTTTGGTAAATCTTGAAAACTATAATTCAAAACAGGCTCGCTCTCCTACATCATATGTCGGAACATTTGAAATTGGAACAAACATTTGTGTAGGCCATGCAAATATCGGTACCAACGAACTCACGGCCCTGAACACTGAAGGTGTACGTGCCGCGGAAGCATTTAGGTCATCTATCTTTAAAAAATTGCTGCACCAGATTGCTGGAACAAAATATTGAGCTTTGAGTTTTATTTTGAAATCGGTTTAACGTTGATTTCCACATAAAATGTACTGCCAAATTACTAAATTACATTACTCAGATATCATCAGATTGACGCCAAAATAAATTCAATGCATGCAAATCCCACAAATAATTTATTTAAATGTTACAAAATAATTCCACGTAAATTGTACAAAATTAACAGTTTTACCGCACAATTTGGACATCAATCCGCGATAACACCAGCTCGCTCTAATAATAGTTCACATTAACCTACTCATTAACACCGATACATCACACAACCAACATCAACCGCTTTCCGACAAACTGCTAACTATCCACATTTTGAGGAGCAATTACTATCTGACCATTTATTGTAGATACCCAAAACGTAACTACTTTAGCGGTGTTGAAGGTCTATCTTAGTTGGCGATGTTGCTGTTAATATGGAAGTGTGGAGTTACCTTGTTTGCAATATATGAGCTAACGAGGGCAATGAGGCGGCTTAAGGAACAATTTTGTGTATTGGGAATAGTGTTCTGAAGGTCTAACACAATAAAGGGCAACTTGCTAATGATACTTAGTGTTTGCTACACACTCAACTATAAAAACTATAAAACAATATATTATGTAGAAGCCCAAGTGTTTAAGTTTTAAAATACACGAATTTAAACTTCCCAAGCAATGACTCATGACTCATCTCCGTTATACTTTTCTGATAGATCTCACCGACTTTAGAAAACACAAGATTATAATAATAATACATATTGAATGTCCCAAACAAGAGTCAGACCTTACGTTATTATCCATCTTTGTCAAGTTGTTAAATACCTCATTTGTCCGCAGCGCCAAGGTTGTATCCACGGTGAAGAGTTGCCCTACGTGTTTGGTGCCCCACTAGTGGGCGGACTGGCCCACTTTTCGAGGAACTATACGAAAGCTGAAGTAGCCCTTTCAGAGTCCGTTATGCTATATTGGGGCAATTTCGCAAAAACCGGGTAAGTGGAGTTTTTATGGAATTGATTTTGGGTTTGCCTTTATTGCCGAAAACTTTTCAAGATCTAAAATATTTTATGTCCGAACAATCTCGAATAAATAATTTCCAATGTACCGAAGCGTTCTGGCTTGTTCCAAAGTCACTGGGACAAACTTTGAATAAAGGGTCTTTGAAGAAACGTTGACCCTTCGTAGCCAGTCCTTGATAAAAGATTCAATTTCCATTGTATTTTATTTAAGGATCCCCAGAATTAAACTATGTAGGCATAAAACTAGATGAAACAATGTGTGAAAATCTTTTTACGCCTTTATCTAGACGTTTTTTTAATCCCATTTTATGATCTCATCTAGATTACATTTAAAAATCTAGTTTTATTTTTTATTACAGCTTTTACATTGAACCTCAAAGTGTTTTATTTCAAAAGGGATTCGTTATTAATTCTAAGATTTTTTTAGTATAACTGTATTACATTTTGATCAAAACTAAGATACTAAGATAAAATGTTGAACTTTTGAACTTAACTCAAAATAAAGTCATTTATTTTTCGGTATATTTGGAAAGCCAGATTGTTGTACCTACAGTTCAATTTAAACTGCAACCAGCATAATTATACGTATAATATATTAGGGTTAAGAAAGGGCTGGAAAGCTAAAATGAAGATAAACTTTTAAAATCGAAAGCGGGTTAGACTTTATCTAAATAGATCTCATTACTTGTCTAGGAATCCCAACGAAGCGCAGGAGAGTGACCCAATAAGGGCAGGTAGACAAGAAAGAGTGAGAATGAAGAATATAGAATGGACTGCTTACGAAGCAGTACATAAGAAGTACTTGAACATTGACACCAAAGCTAAATTGAAGAACCACTACAGAGCTCACAGGTATGTCTTATTACAAAAAGAAAAATTCAACGAATGATTTCAAAGCAGTTCCTATGATATTTTTTCCAAGAGTACGAATCGTATTTCAATTTCTTTGAGAATACGATATTACTAAAATTTATTCAAGCTTTTTCCTTTTATAAAATCTTGTCGTGAACCTAATGTAATTGATGTGCTAAATTATTAAACAACATCGTTTTGCGATTATAGGTTTTCCATAAATGGAATGTTTAAGAAATTATTTTGTTAACAGATTGTCATTCTGGCTGAACTTAGTACCAGACCTACACCGTCCTGGAGGTGAGGATGTGCCTCCATCGCATCATCAGCTTGAGCATGAGGATGCTGCTCTTCAACCTACGCTCAAAACATTCAGTCCACCATTCAAAAAGACTACAGATATGGTGATTACAGATACTGGTTTGGCGACTAAGATTCCGGTCTTGGGTATCCTGAATATCACGTCTCCATTGAACTTCAATATCATTGGAGTCAATACTCCTACACAAAGCACTGCTGCTACTGAAGTCCATAAAACTGATGCAACTACTGCAACCCCACCAGAGGACGGTTTCGCAGCATATTCTACTGCTCTTAGTGTAACTATAGCCATAGGATGCTCTTTGCTCATATTGAATGTTCTCATATTTGCTGGTGTATACTACCAACGAGACAAGACTAGAATGAATGGACAAGATGGTCACACAAATGGAGCTCATTTAAAAAAACGAGTCGAGAATGGCCAGATGCCGAACAACATTTGTGGTGACTTAGAGGGAGCGTTGACTTACCAAACAAGTCTGAAGAATGACCCTGCTACAATTTTAAGCCATCATCATCATTCCCATCATCAATTACCACCCCCAGAATTCGCAGATCTTCCAAGTAATAACGTCGCTGGTATGGCGACTTTGCCTCGGGCGCCTCCTCCGCCAAAACTTGGGAAGAGTAATATAAATACACTAGCAAGTGGGCAGCTCCAAGAGAACCAGCCCTTGCTATCAGCACACAGATGCAGATGATCAATACGAGCACTCTGACGAAAAAGAACACGCAACTGAACGCGAAGTCGAATGTGACGATGGAGGAGTTGCGTGTGTGACGTCAGCGAGCATGACTGCAACGAGCCGGCAGTTGCAGCGACGTAGTTCATCATGACGAGATCGTGTGACTTGAGCCGGACCTTCTCAGGTGTGTTACAGATTATATATAGACATTTACTGTGCCACTTGAATCCAGAAGGTTATAAATTATTAAAGACTTTTATTCCAAGGACAATGTGAACTGAATCAGTGATTTTCTTCAAAAACTCGAAGTGAGATATTTGAATAAGTGACGTTCGTGATTATCATATCTAAGACGTTGGAGTGTAATATAGAGTGTTATTGGACGATTTATCGATGTATGTATAAAATGTTTGTAAATAGCGAAATAATTGTACATAGTTCGCAGCTCAGCCGCATATCCATCCTAATTACAATTATGATAATCTCAAAAATAATGAACTTAAAGTAAAGTAATAAAGATTAATCGTCGTCGCTCTCGCTCGGTTGTTACAATTGTATGAATGCAGAGTAAGTTTCTATTTAAAAGAATGGACATTGTTTCTCAGGCGTTACTGTCAAGAGATTTATGTTCTAGAATATCTGACGTTGTAATAAGCTTATTTTCCAACCATTTAAGATGGCATTTTATTGTATTTAAGTGCAGCTATTTACGTTAATACTTGCTATTAAGATGACTAAACACAATACTAAGATTATTGTCTAAAGCGATTGAAAAATGTATTTCGATTCTGTCGGAGCGTCGGCGCGGCGTCGGCATTAAATGCGAGTCAGTGTATTTTATTAATAGTTCGAGCGGACAAATCTAAGAGAACAGAAGACCCTTTTGGAGGTCCTTTGATTCCAAATATAATTTTCCTTTGAACGTCTGAAGTAATGAAATTTTGGCAATTTCTTGTGATATTTTATAAAATTGTAACAGCCGATCGAACTTGGATTTAATATTGAATTTAAAAACTAGATACTTGAAGAGTAAAGAGATACCAATTTAATCTTCGCCGACCGTTTTGTCGAAGTTAGAAGCAATAATGGTTCTTCGAAAAAGTCAGTTTTTAAGCGATTTTAGTTTTTGATAGAAAAAAAAAGTTTTGCTGAAGAAACAGGTGGTCGTTATCTGAAATCTTCTTTGTTTACGACTATTTGAGTTTCGTAATTTACTTTGCTGTTTTACTTGTTGAAATAAGGCACGAACATTGAAGATTTTTTTGCTTTAGCATTTTGAATTATTTACGTAGGGCTGTTCTTACTGCCTCTGAGGTTAAAGATGATGCGGCCTGTCTTAATATTTTTTGTAATGTTTCTTCAGCAAAGGAATTATTTTTAGTTTTCAACATAGATGGACCAATAGTGTTTGTAAATATGTAAATAAATTTAGGAGACGGTATAACAGGTTGTATGACATCCTTTCTGTTAAATTTCAAAACACGACTGATCCTCATTAATTTTATTAAAAAAATACGGATATTCAAAATTAAAAATGATTAGTTAATTTTTGTATTTAATTATTATTGTGAACCATTTTGTATTTTCGGATTTGGTTTTGAGCGTCAGTAATTATTATATGTTTGTATTAAAATCAAATGTCCTTCTGTATGCAAAAGCACAAATTTTGTTATTGAGTAAAGGAAGTAAGTGTATTTATAGATATCAACAAAGTCTGTACAAAGACTTCATTATAAAGTACTCACCGGAATACAGACTAAAAATTTTAATAAAATAATATCTAAAAAATATTTTCTTTGTTTTATTTGGGCCCTTATTAGTAAAGCCTAAAAATTTACTTATAAATTAAGACAATTAATTTATCTAATGATTAAAGTAAAAAATGCCGTCTACATTTGAGAATCTATGTTGCTATGAATAACTAAAATATACACACTACAATTAATGATGAATACATAAAATATAATTTAATATTTGCATAACTCGTTAATTTATCAACCAATAACTTGAGATTTTCATGAAAATAATAGGTTAAAACATTTCTTGATATTTACTAATACCCGTTGTATTAAAAACTTCATAGCATACCTAAAAAAAATAGGTCAAAATGCTCTCTCATTTATCTTAAGTTTTAAATATAAAACATCACCCTTTCTGTAGAAGACACCAAGGAGTAACAAAACGTGAAATAACAGTAAAAATGGCCGTTTATTTTTTCAGTGTTAAGGTTTAAACGTGTACAGTGCTCCCGACACTCGAGGCTCCGAGCAAAATCCTTCTTATAACAAAGCTCTTTAATACAACAGGAAAATATTTAGTGGCGCACCGTCTCAAGAAAAACGCGTTAAAGTTAAACGTAGATGAGAATGAAGGTAAAAACTTAATTGAATTGAAACCACTTTCACGGACGAAATCTCGCGTTGTTTTTGTTTTATGATTTGTAAGCAACGTTGAGTACTTGCGAGGCTGGAATGAATAATGTTGGAGTTGTTATATTGAGTTCATATCTGTGGGTACGATTTTTAGATTAGGGTTAGATATTAACCCATTGTACTCCGGAATACAGATCTACGTGAGACACAATGTGTTTTTTGTTATGTCTTATATACCGGCAATTGGGATGATTTCAGGGTACGAAAATTAAAAATGTAATAAGACTGTAAGTAAAAAAAATTAGACACGTATTTCTTGTCGTATAATAAAACAATACTTAGATAAAACGAATCAAAGTTTAGGAGTGGGGGCTAAAACGTCATTTCTACGTATAAAATGTACATAGAAGTGACGTCACGTGACATTTGAAATCAATAAATCATCGAAAGTATTTGTTTCTGTAAGAAAATAAAAAATATGTGTCTAATGATTTAAAATAATGTACCAGACAGACATTAAAATAAAAATTAGGCATCTACTGTATTAAGAGGTTAGGTACGGGATACAATTTTCAGCTTTTTAGCTCATGTAAGTGCAACTGGAGATCAACAGTGTATATTTTCACTTTATTTTCATCATCTTCAACAGCACTGATATGGGATATGAACCTTCTTGATATAATTAAGGTGATTACACATAATTTATCCTCGTTTGACATGTGGGTCGGAAATTACAGTTTAGAAACGAACCGTTTGTTAAAGAACGCTGCTGTCGTATTTTGCTGCTCTGTGTGTTTTCTGAATGAAATGGTGGGTGTATTTTGTTTTGTATAGTATTAGTAACACCTGCCTGGCTCGCTGGCCGAGAGATCACAAGTGCGACTGCCGGGCAAGGGGTCTCGTGTCCGATTCCTGGGTCGCGCAAAGTATTACTGGGTTTTAAAAAATTCTCAGTAGTAGCACAGAGTCTGAAATTATGCCCGGTATATGGCAATAGGCTCACCCTCTATAACATGGGACTCATAACATAAATAGTGTACAGTGGGTGTTACATTGTACAGTGGCATAATGTGCACCTCTGCCGAACCGTTCCGGAAAAAAAGGCGCGATATTATGTTATGTTATGTTAGAAAATTTCTTTCCAATCTCCGTCCCGATCTAAATGAAAAATTTGATCTTGAAAATTGTTTTACTTGTAACCAACACTTAAAGTAACACGACTTAAGATAAATATCAGTTGCTTCTCATCAACAGTCTGCAGTTAAGTTGATATTTTCTGTTTACCTTTAATTAAGATTAGATTCAAGTTAGGTATTACTTTGCTCGGTGTAAAACTTTGTCAAAAGGTAAACGGTGGCGATCTAAATAAGTATAAATTACTCGACGGTAAATGAAAGTTTAGTTTGCTAAATCTAGTGATATTTCGTATAATAAGTCCCTTTAAATTGACGGTTTAACAAAACTATAAGTTGTAGAAAGCTGAAAGGCACGTACGTTACTTGGAGAGTTTTGAACGGTAAACAACTGGACAAAGTCGCAGGTAAAAGTTAGTACTGAGTTAGATTTTTCAAAACATATAATTCCCAAAGGAGTACTAACCACTTTTTGTCAGGTATGTCATGACATTAATATAATTTTGTAGACAATTTTAGAATTAACCCTTTGAATACCGTCATTATAGATACAATTAAAGAACAATAGGTTGCGGTCACCGGTGTCCTCGCAGTGTTTGACAGTTTGATAGTTTTATAGATATTTCTGTGGGAAATATATAAGGATACTATTACTTAGGACTATAGGTCTATTACCTAGGATTAACTAGGACTGCCTCGTAGGCCAAGTGGTCGCAAGTGCGACTGCCGGGAAAGGGGTCTCGGATTTGATTTCTAGGTTGGGCAAAGCATTACTGGGTTTTTAAAATAACTCTTAGTAGTAGCACGGAGTCTGAAATTGTGTCCGGTATATGGCAATACGCTCATCCCTTATTACATGGGACTCATATCATAAATAGTGAAAAGTATGTTTTATATTATATAGTAGCATTAAGTGCCGTAATGTACACCTCTGTCGACCCCTTTGGGGGTAAAAGGCGTGATGTTATATAGGTGTTACTATTAGTGCTAGCAATTGGAACTTATGCAACCACAAAATTGTCCACAAACAATTACCAGCTTCATCTAAAAGGGTAACCTTTGTTGATAATTTACCTGACTCTGATTAATATGATAATCACAACACCCATTTTATTCGAACATTTATATGTAAAACAGTATTTTTAGCTTCACACGAGACAGTGGTTCAAAGGTAAAACTGCGCCACGCCTCTCCCCTCCCGGATATTAAGTTCGCCCGACCGCCCCGGATTTGGCTTGGGAGGGGAAAATTTTAATTTCCAGCGTTTGCGTATACGCGTGACGTTTTAACATACGGTTATCCGGGTCAACTCTAGTTATTGTGCTGACTGCGCGTGGTAATTTGCCAATACTTGCTTGTTGCTTTGACCTGGTTTAAGATTAAAAAAGTGAATCAGCTATTTCGTAGTTGCATGTAAGGGGCACTCTGACCAAATAGATGTTCATTAGTAATGTATATGACATACATTTTTATACTGATAAAAGATATAAACTACTTTTCACGAAGGTAAATTACTCAACTTTCTAATCAAAATAACAAGCAACACGTTTCTACAAATGTAAAGTAAAAATACAGCGGGTTTCTTGAATCAAAATTGCCCCCAACAAACGTGACAGCTCGCGGTAATTTTGCGTAACATTTCGTAAAACGTGCTCTCGACACGAAGGAGATCTCGCACCTGAGAGCTTTAATACCGCACCTGTCATCACTAATGTCTTATTAGAAACCTGGGCGCAACACTCTAAGGAATGTGCTGCATTGTCGACCTCCAGACCCTCCTCACATCTTTATCATACCCCATCTCATAGCCCTGTCAAACTTTATAGGGATCATCCCGTATCCACACATCCATCTATCCTTGTCTCTTTCACACAATACGAAAGAGAAAACAATAAAGATCCTTTCAAATCCTTCACCTCCAAAGCAAACATTCAAAACATTTCACTTGAAAACAATGGAAGCCATCAGAGGGCGATGTGGGCATCATTTATTCAGCCTAACACCCTCGCACGAGATGTTTCTTTGTCAGCACAACGGATCCGCAGAAAACATGCAAATATTCGAAGCGAAAAGCTTTCGACTTCACCCCTTTAATGGTTAAGCAAATACAAGTACGTTGACTTTAAGACTCGCTCCAAAAATAAAAAGTGTTTTCAACTCCCGACAAAGAAAGCGGAAGCCTCTCGAAGTCTTTTCTTAATGGAAAACTCTGGTGTATTTGAATACCAAGTCTAATTGGTCGAAAAGTTCGCGATGTTGGTTAGCAAAAAAACTGTATAACATTAAAACTTTTTCCTTGTGACGAAATTAAGTAAGAATATTGCCACAGTCGTGTTCCTGTTTCTTTTGTAGTGAAGCAAGAAGACATTGTAAGAAACCCTCTAGGCTATTCCAATAACTTTTTATATTAAAGACGCCATCTTGAAATCTCAGAACATTTACAGATAAAATTTAAATTTTATTACATAATCATGAATTCCAATTTTCAACTACTCATTCCAAATAAACATCCAAGCAAGTACAAACTACAAACATAGTATTATTATTTTACGGAGGACACAAACAATAATGTCTGTTTTTCTTCCATTCGAAGTAAGTAAATATATTATTAGTATTGGCATTAAACCCTATAAAGGGTGGAACTCATTGACTTTTATGAGAGTTGTGTCCTTTTATTGAATTATCTGTAACAAATAGTTTCAGATCTATTGGAACTAGGGGTCAGTGGGAAAATGATGAAGAAGATATTGCTGTAAGTATATGTATAAGAACATGTTTGGTTCATATAAGTACTTCCTTCTTCTGTCTATAGAACGTATTATAATTGAAAGTGATCTTCATAATACACTAGGCCTTAATGTTTTACTTGTGAACTGCCTGACATTTTTATGACGACAGTGATCCAAGGTATAGAGAAAAATAGCAAGTCATCCATCCGTAGATGAATCTTCAAAAGCTGGACAAAGGAGCGGCTAGTCTGTTGGCAATAAGGCGGTGTGTATAATATCGGCAAAGTACGAGTACAG